CGTACAGCTGCCCGCCCCCGTGGCCGCCGCCGACGTTGCCTCCGAATCCGCCTGTGGGAACGTCGCGGAACGGCTGCGTAAGTCATCGCTTAATTGAAGAGCTGAGTGCAATCGGTGGCGGATCCAGGGGGAGGGGCATAAGGGACATGCCCCGCCCCCAACCAAAAGGCCTAGTGTTTCCGTTTGCTACCTTCCTTTCTTTGGCAAAATTATTTTAATTTTTATATTGGAATAATGTAATTATTTAAAAATTAATATTGTATAGCAACTTACACTATACACTACTAAATAATATACAATAGAATAACATATATATTTATTATTTAACAAAGATCTGTGATTACCTCTCCCAAAATCATCGGCTGGATCAGCGCCTGAGTGAAATAGTGAGTTTCTGATACTATTTGTTATCTATTAAAATGAGCTACCTAAGAACATTTTTGGTTTGAACGGTTTTCTTCTATAAAGTTACGAATGAAACCACTATTTCTTTCTCTTCGCAACTCTTTCTAACCGCAACTATGTAACTAAAATGATTTTTGTCCATTTTCTTAAAATGTGACTTAGACCATTATTGAGTTCATCCCTTCTATTTTATGTGACTTTATTTGTCGAAAAACAGTGAAGATTTCATGTGACATATTGGGAGAGAAGTTCAATCTGCGCTCCTTTTCTTGAGCTCTATAATACTTTCCCATCCCTTTTACTTTATACAGTGGAATGATAAATAAAAGTATCAACAGAGTGTGATTAGTAACATTTGAAAACTAGACATTTTCGCTCCAGAATTTTAGAAAACTTATGTTTAACTGTGAACGAACTACAGATCTGTTCTCTTTAGTATTGCTAACATAATAGTAATCCATACCTCCTGCTCTTCTCTTACCACAACTAGCAAAAGGAGATCTCAACAAAACGTACGCATAGGGAAGCTTCGTTTATGTTCAGAAACAAAAGTAGGGACCATCCCAAGGGTCTATTCGTATAAAGATGCTCTCTCAACTGTTTTTAGCATAAATTACCAGCTTCATCTTTCAGCCAGTGAAGATAATTCCAGAAATGCAATAATGTTTAATTTCAGTAATCTGACAGATATTTGGCCGGGTGTTAAAATTTGGCACCTCCATTGATAGAGACGCCACTAAATCTTGCGTTGTATCGCTAGCGAATAAAAACAAAATCCAAAACTATACATTTCCATCATACCTCGTAAATTCAGTCTCGAGGAAATGTCTCCCAAAAAGAACCTAATTGCGTTGTAGCCCCTTACCTCCGTGTCCGCCGCCGTGGCCTACGGCAGTCACATCGAAGTGGTGGTGGTCGTCGGCAGGCAGGACAGCTTGAGAGTGTGAGTAGCCGTGAGACACCACTGGGTGCTTGACGATCTCGTAGGTGGTGCCGCCCTTATGGCCGTGGCCAACTAGGTGGGACAAGCCCAACACCGAGGCGAGGACCAGAGCCACCTTGGCGACCAGCAGCGCCTTGCCCGCCAGCACGGCCAAAGCCTACACACGGGACGGTCTTATCAGGCAAACCCAAAGAGACAGATGTATGGGTAGGAATCGGGCGATGTTTCAAAAATGTCCCGAAGTTCGGGCTGAATGAATGAGGGGTACTGGGAATCCCGATTTTGTGATTCGGGCGACCTGCTTGACCAAAGACCAACTGTACTTGTACTGCATAAACTATTTGAGGCATGTAATGCGTGAATAGGGAGGATATTCGTTAAGACATTCGACCCAACTCCATATTCCTGAATGTCTGCCCAGAAGTGTATCTACGGTATGGCACGTGCAAGGGGCGCCACTCAAAAGCGGCGCATTTTAGAGTATACCCGCCAAAACAAATATGAAGTAACCTGACAGGGGCTCCTGAATACCTAGATACGCCTCTGGGTCCGCCTTAAATAAAAATTGTATCTGGCAAAAACATCGGGTACCTGGCATTTTCGACCATTCTCTAACTCTACTTGTAATGGCGATCACGCGTTAGAAATATTTATTCAAATTTTCGAACAAACTGCTTACGTTAGTATAGCAACATGTAGGTCTAATTGTATAATGAAACTACTGTTAATTTGATGGTAATGTGATTGAATAGGATTTCGTAACCACTGGCTAGATTTGTTATATTTAATTTTACTTCCATGTAAAGTAGTACCTAAAAAATCTCTCTTGCCGCGCAAATTGACAGCACTGTTTTGAAATGAGTCAAGAATACAGTATCTATTTTATTAATTATGTTTCCCATTCGGTGCAACATCAGTTAACCTTTCAACAAAAAGTTCGTCTTCAAAGGAATGGAAAGCTGCCGTAAAAAATGAAGTGAGCTTTGGATTGTGGAGCTCTAGTAACACAGAAAATTAAAAAGCCTGAATATTACTCATTTGAATTCATATTACTTCGAAAGAGCTAATTCTACTTGTATTAATTTTGAAGTGAGCCAAAAAATTCTTGATTTTATTGTAGGTTATTGAAAACAACTAAGATTGTATATTACAGGGATATGGCTCGCAAAAGCAACTGAAAGAAGCACTTTTTGGAAATCATCTACAAGATTAGATTATGACGCAAATGCCAATAACCGATTAGTGTTATTCTTTAATATTTCAATAGTCCGAATTGACAGTTTTTGTAGTATCTGTAGATGCGAACAGCGGCCTTCCCCTTCTCACAGTTTATCTGCATGCATAAGACACGATCGAAGAGGTTCGAACTGAATTATGCTATGACAGTCATTCGGAAAAATACTGGTAAGCAGTGGGACTATTAGTGGGTGATGGAACTGAGGCTATCACTTGCTACAGAGACCATGACCCGCACCCACTTGCTTCTGTCATGCTTCTTCGACTGTGCTGGGGGCAGGATAAGTGCGATAGTTGTTGCGTTCGATTGCGTATATCATTTGAAATTTTACTTCATATCGTGTGATCATTTTTAACACTGCTCGTCACAATTATAACTATGAGTTATTGCATTAAAAAAGGCTATCGACAGAAAGCATTGTGAAATAAATCATGGCCACAATATATAAAGCTATTATAAGAAAATGGTTTTATAAGGTAAATAGTAATCTATTTAAAAAGGTAAAAAATATTTAGTTTCCCTAAGTCAAAATAATTGTCGATTTCGACCTAATGCATTCGAAATTCCAGACGCAGCACTGAAGCTACGTCTGTCATTTGTGTAATAATGCAATTTTTCTATTAAATATTCATTATATATTTATCTTAATAACATTCATTAGATAGTTATCACGTATTATATTTTAACTTTTATGGGATGTCCGAAAATTTGCTTCAGAAAACTCATTACGAAAACCGTACGTAACACATGTCCAAACTTAAATTGGGTTTACATTTTCTAAAGAATGTAATTAAAAAATTATAACTCCTTTCCCTTAAAAAAACTAGTGGAAAAAATATTGAAGATCTATCAGTGCAAGCATTCAAGCGTTCGAGACCTTGGAAAAAGAATTTCGCGAAATTAATATTCTAATAGCAAATTTTAAATCCTAACGCCCTATGTGTATATTTGCTTTAAATATAAAAACGTAATGAGGTAAGATGCTGGACCTATCTTGACTCAAATTTCAGACGTCAAACCAATTTTTTAAATCCCCTTTTTAAATACACACAAATATGCCATTAGTCTGTTTTAAGTTTAAGTTTAGCTAAGAACCAATTGATATTCACCGACATTAAAGAGAAGTTCGTTTTGTCTTCAATTTACTAGAAAGAACGCTTTTTAATTGTATTAACTATGTGGGTAGCTTTAGTTCTTGATGATGATATATTACCTATTCCTTTTTTTCAGACTAAGTTATCATTTAAATTTTATTAATATTTCTTTGCTGTTTTGGATTAAGTTTTAATTTTTCGTTATGAACCATTTTACAATATGAGAAAGATATTTTACAAACCAATTTTTTTGTTTTATTTTCTGCCATTAATAACTTTCGGTTTGTGAAAGGCATTTGCAAGGGGAAAATGAGAACCACTGCTTTAGAGAAATATTACGAGAGAATTTGCTGACTGGTGAAACATACTGTAACCTTTGTATTGTGAAATATGGTCTCTGTCGTGTTTCTGTCATATATTGCACAGCACAAAATAATCCCGCGTTGACTAATATTATTAATGAAATTGGTCACATTGAAAGGAAGTTTGCATTGTCTATTGCCGTAAATCAAGTCGAGATTAACTACGAACTAGAAGATCTCTGAAACCAGGCTGTTTTTGTAATTCCATGTGGTAATGCGATGTACTTCGATAGTATCGCTGTGTGGCCCCTTGGCCAACGTGATGAGGCAACTGCGTCTTATCTAAAAAGTAATTTAATTTTTTTCCATCTTAAATGTAGACAAAATTATTTATCTCAATGATGATTATAGAAATTTGAAAATCCCCAACATTAGTTTACGTCAGATTCCACTGATTAGGTCAGTTTCGTAGTAACGACTATATAGTACAAGGACATATATAGAACATACTGAACAATAGTAAGAATATTGCTTTAATGCTTGTCGGCAGTTTAAAATTTCATTAAGTCCTTTCAGAATTATTTTCAGTAATACTAGTGAAAGGATTCCAAAATGTCTATCACATGAGAGGCGTCTATGCATCCGAAACATAGCTATGAATACTCTTACGGACATTGTATTCATAGCTGGACGTTTAGTTCACAAGCAAATGTGCATATTTAAAATGTGTGTGAAGTTTTGGAAAGGAACATAGTTCGTTAGACGAATGACCCGAAGTGAACGCAATGCAAATCACAGCATTTCATTAATTATATATCAAGCTAAATGTGAACAGCTGTTCAAAGGGCTGTTGTATTTCTAGTTAAAAAGTGAAAATTTTTGTTACAATTGTTTAACTGAACAATAATTCTATTTTATTAAATATTCATTACGCTATGTCAATGACGTCTCAAATACTGAAATTAACCCGACCAGAGACTTACGGTTCCGTTCCAGTTTTTCTCTGCTAATTTTTATAATGTGAAAAAGTATATGAAATATTTAGTGTAAGGAACAGAACGTCATAATGGTTATGATATAAATCTTTATAATTATTGTGCATATAACTAATCTAATTTTAACTTTTAATCAGCATTATTATAAAATATTTTCTAAGAAAGCAATATTAAAAATTACGTCAATGTGCAATTATTTCATGAATAAAATATTAAAATTGTTCGCATGTTCTAAAATATAAATAATACAATTTGTTTGAAATTTATTAAACAACTTAAAAATGATTGTCTCCTTCGACACGTATTGGCAGATTTGGTAAATCATTACATCTTAATTTTATTTCTTTGCGTTGTACGGTACAGTATTAAAATAACATATTTGTTTACACTCTTTTCTTTTAAAGTTAAATTATTAAACTGCGCGTGAGAAAAAAATGTATGATGGCGACCCCCAAATTGCCATATTGTTTGCTCCTTTCACCTCATTCACAGTGTAGCCACTGTGCATCCCTTGATTCATAGAAAGACTCCGTACCTTGTAAGCGTAGGCGATCATTCCACCCTTCATGAGCATAGCCAGCAGCAGAGCTCCGTATCCCTTCTTGCCGCCCTTGCTGCCGATGCCGCCGCCGCCGCCGCCGCCGCCGCCGCCTTCCTTACGTGCTCCTGCGCAAGCAAATCTCGAAATGGAGCACATTCTCGAGATTGCTCCATAAGCCAAACAGCGCTCAGGTATCAGAAGCAACGTGAAGGTATGGATATCAGTGAAGTGGAGGCCGATTTTCTATTGCAAATATTCTAAAATCAGTCACGATGAAAAAGAGTTCGATACAAAAAGCTTTTGTATACAGTGAAACCTAATCACATTTTAGAATTTATAAAATGGCGCAATGTTATTAAAGTTATGGCAATCAATCTGGATGCTCTTTATTGTCCTTAAAACTGGATTGAGAACACCAGGTTTTTTTCTTAAAAGAGTTTTTGAAACATTACACACATCATGATATATCGTTAGAATTGTTAGTGAGGCATGGGGAGAAAAGATAGCATGGGGATCTAGAAACGGAGCCCGAGACCATCCCAAAATTTGTTCAATGAATGAAGAGAAATTAACAGAAAAGCTGACAGAGATGGGAGACACAGGTCCAAATGATATTTACAATGCATCCATTTCATTGCAGATGATCTTTATATTACAGACTTTTCGAATTTGCTTATACAACTTAATGGAGAATATAAGATGCAAAGAGCCCCTGATTAACTATTATTATGAACGAGTTCTATTTTTCTTTTTGATATTAATCATAGTCTGATAGTTTATATATTTCCGACTACTATTGGTCCGCGGACTACTGATTGATAATCACCACCTTACGAATCACGGGACCTGAGCGTAGCATAGGGAAAGTATGGACCCTTCCCCGCTTACTAGAAATTGGGTAGAAGCACACAAGGAGAAATGAACGTACAAAATATATGAATCCATGAACTAATGTTTTGAAAAACTATCAAATGTTTATTGGAATTAT